ACAAGCATCCTGCTGGGAGGGAATAACATTGGCCTCCACCCGAGTGAGCTCTCAGCGGCCCAATGGAGGCACTTTCCTTCAACTGCTCCACTCTCACTGGCCAGCCTCGTGACCTCAGACAAGTCCTGGCATGCCGCTGGGTCTTGGCCTCTTTGGTCATCACATGGGGCTTGAGCAACCTGCCTGCTGGGGTGACTGTATAGAAAGCAGAGTAAGGAGAACAGAGCTCTGTGAGAGCGCAGCCTGGGCTGCTGTCAGCAAATGAGGGCTGCTTTATTCCTGGGACTGTCCTGTGATCCCTGGCACTGTGTATTAGTGCTGTGTTTGCTGAGCTCCACCCTCTGGCTGCTGAGACAAGCTCCCAGGGCATCTGTGAGTCATGCCAGGCCTCTGCTCATTCGGCCCAAATCCCTGCCCTCTGGAGCCTTTGGTCAAGGCCCACAGCCAGACCCGGGGAGATGTGGGCAATCCAGATCCCAGGGCGGGGGGGGGGGTGTCTTCAGACGGGCCCCTGGATCTTCTCTGGAAGTCTGGGTTCAGACCCCAATGCCAACAGTCCCCTTCTAAGAGGGGCGACCAACAGCATGAAGATCAAGTAAGGGAGTGAGGTTGAAAAAGCTTTTAGATTTTGGAATCCTGGATCTTGGCTTAGGGACTCTCTAGCTCTGTGATGTTGGATAGGTCACAGAAACTCACTGAGCCCTTAGTCATCTCCCCTGTAAAATGGAGACCAAATTTACCTAGCTCAGAGGGCTAAGTGATGATGAAATTATGAAACACACACACTACACACACGCAGGCACTCCTAGCATACTTGCCAGGTACATGGTAGGCACTCAGTAAACGTGCCCTTCTTTAACGTTCTCGTACCAGGACCTTATGCAATGTTCCTACTTTCAATACTTTTCTTCATTCAATTAGTCATCAGGGGCAGAGCTCAGTGTGGGACCAGGGTAGGGGCTCAGTGCGTGATTAGGGCTCAGTCTATGACCAGAGTCAGGGCTCACTGTGTGATCAAGGTCAGTCTCAATCTGGGGCCAGGGTCAGGCTGATGCAAGAAAACCAAAGATCCTCTTGAGTGTGGCTGACTGCTCCTGATCTGTGCTCTGCCCTGCCTACAGCGGTGGGCCAAGCCTCCCCCAGGCACATGAGGAAGCAGCACTTCCCCTCCTGGTCCTGGCTCAGGCCCTGTTCCTTAGCTCTGAGCAGCAGGCAGGCAGAGAAGCGGCTGCCAACTAGCAGTCCAGTCACCAATCCTTTGGCCAAGGGTCAGAACTCCACAGACTGTCTCCTGGCTGGCCCTGTCCCCACACCCAGCCTGCTGGGGCACCCCTTGTCTGTCAGGGCCACTGCCTTCCTGGTCCCTGCTGTGCTCTGATTGGCAGGCCTCTCTGTGCCAGGCTGGGAGGCAGGTGCTGGGCACTGCTCAGGCCCAGATTGGCCAGGGGTGACCTGGACCTGGGCGCCGGCCCAGGAGACCTGGGTGTGGAGTCTGTCTTGCATGTACAGCTGGAGCTCTTGTTGTCTCTAAGGCACTGAAACTGATTCCCAGGCCAGAGCGCAAACCAGCCTGGCAAGCCGGAGACAGCATGGAGACCAGAACCAACATGCTGGCCACAGGAAGACAGAGACTCAGAGAAAGGCAGGGACTGGCCCGAGGTCACACAGGCAGTCAGGGGATGGGCCGGATTCTGGGTTATCCTGACCCCATTCTGGCTTCTCTCCAGCACCCCATGGTTTTCTTCTGATTGATCTCACACGCCCACACGCTCACTCCGCATCATGGTTTACACATGTCAGCGTCTCCCTGCCCCGACCCCGGCTCTGCCATCTCCATGGCCCTCCTAGGCAGGTTCCCAGGTGAGGTACTGGGACACTGAGGGGAGAAGTAACTTTCCCAAAGTAACAGAGCAAGCTAGAAACGGGGCCAGATTCATTCAACAATTATTTGCTGACAGCTTCCTGTGACCCAGGTACTTTGTTAAATAGTGGGGGTATCATGGGGAGCAAAACAGACCTGGTGGTCACTTGTGGAACTAGACGGGCACCATGGGGGTGGGCACTAAGAAAGAATATGCCCGAGATCCCATAAAAGCACATCGAACACGTGGATCTGCCTCTGAGGCCTGAAGAAGCAGGCAGTCCCAGGGAAACACGGAATGCGGGAAACTCTGGCTTGGTCTGGGAAAACAGGGAGGGCTTCCTGGAGGAGGTGACTGAGCTGGGATCCAAAGAGGGGAGGGGAAAGGAGAATGTTCTGGGGGAGGGAGTGAAAGGCCTAGGGTGGGAAGGAACAAGGTTTGCTCAGAGAACGGAGACACACCTGTTAGGGCTGGAGCCGAGAAAGGGAGGGGCGGGCAAGGACCCAACCACGCTGGGCCTAGCTAGAATCCTCTTTACCCTGGGAGCAGTGAGAACACGATGAGTTTGAAGAGGGGGGCAAGATTGGATGTGCTAAGAAGAAAACAGTGCAGTAGCCTAAGGTCAGGGAGCTGGCAGAGAGGAGCAGCCAGATTTCAGAGATAGGAAATACACTGACTAGACAGGGATGGAGTGGAGGGTGCTGGGCGGGGGTGGGGGGGAGAATGTGATCACCCACACCAGGAGGAGGATGAGATCCCGCAGAGCATACAGAGGAAGAGGAGTGACCTAGGGTTGAAACCGGGGACAGGCCAGCATCACTAAAGATGAGACGCCCAGTGGACATAGGGTGAGGCATGGTCGTCGCCTTAGAGAAAAAGGTTTTAGTGGAATAGTGGGGTCAGAGCGGAAGCAGGGCCTTCGCCCTGCTTGAAAGAGATAGAACCACAAGATGAGCCACAAGGACTTCTTGGTCTGGGACGGTCACAACTAGAGGTGCACCCTATTACTAGCTGGGCTTGAGGCTGGAGCCTGCGCAGGAGGGAAGTGACTCGGTCCCCAGCTCGGGAGTCCCCATTGTTAGACCTGAACTCTCTTCAGATCCCCCACTCATGGGCTGAATGAGTAAATGGCTCTAGGGTACTCTCAGGCTGAAAGTACCCTACCCCACTCCTACCCCACCACTGTCCCCGGAGGTCTGCCTGCTGGGATGCAGCAGGCCCAGGGAGAAGGGACAGAGGTTGGGACAGGAACCCCTGCAGGTGAGACCCCTGGGGAGGGCAGAGAACGGGAAGCTCAGGCGGGACACCAAGTGAGGGAACCAGAAATACACGCAAGAGAAAGATGAGAAAAAGGGTTTTGAAAGAAGATGAAAGATTAATAATATTAATCTATATTAGATAGACTTCATGCACTGCAATATTCATCATGAGAAAAAGCATGGGTGGGACGGGTTTAATGGAGCCTGTGGTCTGCTTTGTTATGGGGCTTGTGGAATCAGACATCCAGGGGACAGTCAGATTCTCCGCCCGCTTCTCCGGGTCTGGGTCCTCCCTCTGGGGTTCCTGCCTGGGGCCTGGGCTCCCCGTGAAAGCCCCTTTCAGGTCCCTGACAGCTGGGCCTGCATTCTCAGAAGCCCTCCCTTCTGCTGTCATTTGCATCTCATTAGCACCCCCGGGGCTGGTGGCAGCTCAGCCTCCTGGAGCCCAGGAACGCGCTCACGCTAGGGCTGTGGGCTGGGCTGTGCTCTGCAAATTGCCCCCTCCCCCAGGGGAGAGATGGGTGCAGCCATGCGCTCTCCCCCGCCGCCCCCACACCCCTCGCCCAGGCTCGGGCCGGCTCGGCTCCCGCCGCGCGTTCCCATGGCAACCGGGTGCCTGCGCGGGTCGAGGTGCCTGCCCGCCGAGCCCCACGGCGCCCCGCTCCCCGCCCTGCCGCCCCGGCTGGCTTGGTGATAGGCAGGGCCTCAATCTCCCGAGATGATCGGCGATAATTGGTTTATGGAAATAGCTGAGGGGAGAAGGCGAGCTCCCTGCCAAGCCCACTCTCTGCCACCTGTCCCTCCTCACCACGGAAATGGAGTTGGGGGAGGGGAGGGCCGAGGAGCTGGCTGGGTGGAAATGGGGATTTTGAGACAAGCAAGTGGTCCACCTGTTGGTTCCAGCACAACAACCTTTCAACCGTGTGGGGGTGCCGGGGTTGTCGGCTCGTGACCGGCTCTTTGTCTCCGTGTCTCAGCCCCGCACCTTATGCCAGTTAAGTCACCAGAGCTCAACTCTGGTGGCTGCCTGGAGGAGGAAGAGCCTTCAAGAATTTGAAGGTGGGATTTTCAGCAGGTGTTGGGGGAGGGGCAGGCACTCTCCCTAAAGGAAATATGGGCGAGTAACTGCTGGAATTCATAGAGGAGGGGAGGTGTAGAGTAGCTTGGGGGGTGGTGCTGGTGGCTCCCAGTTTACAGAAGGGCTCAGGGATGGTGAGCTTATGGGAGGGTTTATCGCACAGTGCCTTGTCCTCAAGATAGAAGGCACATCCAGCATCCCTACCGAAGGCTGGCTGGCTGGACACTGTGTTGCCCCTTGATACCCTTCTGGGAGGAGTGATGCCCATAAGGTGGGCAACAGACACGAGACACGGCAGCGCCAGCCTCACTCAAGCACCAGGCCTTGAGAAGTGTGTGCCTGCAGCTGGCTGGCGGCGGGTATGGGGTGCATTAAAGGACAAGAACTGGGGAATCCCTTGGGACAGAAATGACCCAGGAAATGGTATGGGCCGAGGACGAGGATGATTGTGAGGACCTACCCCAGAACTGGACACCATCACCCCGCTCCGAGTCCAGCCCTGGCCTCTGTATCCGGAGGCCCTACCTCCCTAAGGTCAAACTGAGGCCAAGCCCTGCCCCGCTGGCTGTGGGATCAAGGAGTGGCTCTTCCTTCCTTCCCCAGCCCTGGTGAGCGGCTTCCCACGCAGCAGGGAAGAGGTCAGGCCTACCACGTACAGGCCTACAGCCCCTGTGTGATTCACACTTGACTTTCCCCTCTGGGTACCACAGTCCAGCTCACAGCCATTGGCTGCTCACACCCCAATGGCTTTCTGCTCACAGCCCAATGGCAGCCCCAGCCCCTGTGCCCAGCTCTACTTACACCATGACATAAGGCCACGGCTCAGAGCCATCCTTGCAGGTGGGCAAGTTGGTGGCCCCATGGAGAGTGACCATGATGGTCTCCTTATTAGAGGGAGACAGGTAGCTGGTGACAGATTCCACACTCTGCACTGTGTTCATGGGCTCCTCTGGGCTCTTGGCGACCTGTGGAGAGAACCAGGGCTGAGTGGCCTCCTCTGGGGCGGTCACCTGTCCTTACTGCCTCCCTATTAACTCCAGTCCCTCACTGCTTCCCTCCAAGTGCCTTTCCCTCTGTCCTCCCCCCATCCAGTTTAAAACTACAGGGCACTCGTCTCTGGCCCCATTTCCTCCCTGCCTCTGTCCCACCTCCATGTCCACCCCAGCCCTGTGTCACTTCCTACAGAGGAAGACAGGCCCTCACCTCTCAAGTTCAGTCTCACCCCAGAGTCTCTGTTTTCTGCAGGTTTTTGCTGGGTTTTGCCTCTCATTCCTAAGTACTGCCTGCTTTCTTCCTTCTCTGTAAACCTCAGCCCAGTCCACCTGTCCCCTCAGATCCTTCCCATGCACAGCCCTTTACAAAGCTTATCCATATCCATGAAGTCACCCAATGCCTTAATGAAAAGAGGTGAAGGTGGCTGTCCCAAATGCCCCCTCTGTCTTCCACCCGGAGAACCCTGCAGACCAGGAAGGTGGAGAGGCACCTGCCTGCACATGGGACCTCTAGGCTGCTGGCCCCAAGCAGACGCACAGGCAGGAGCTCAACAGCTCAAAAGCTCACAGCTTGGGGATTTAGGGCCCAAAAGACCATGGTATTGAGAGCTGCCAAGAGGAGACCGAAGCAGCCGCTGGGGGGAAGTCAGGGAACCAGCTGGGAAGGGGAGGCCTTTAAAGTGTTGGGAAGACGTGCATGGCTGGAAAGACAGGCTGGAATCTGGAGGAAGGCTGCAAAGTGGGAAGGGAGCTTCCCACAGCTCAGAGCAGGCTCATTTTGATTCTGGAGGCAGGAGGAGTCAGGGAGGGTGGCAGAACCCACAGTTTGTGAGTGAACGCCATGGTTGGGGAGGGTGTGGGTATGTGCCTACTGTGTCTGGGGCTGGTCTTCTTCTGCACTGACAGGCTGACTCTCACTCCAAGGGCCTGGACTTGACACAGATGACCCAGATTTACCCTTGCTAGGTCTCTGCTGGCAGGAGGCTCCCCCCGTCCTTGTCCCTCCTGCTCATGTGAGGGGCCACAGAGAGGCCCTCCTGGCCCGATGAGGGAAAGCAATGGACCTCCTCAGCTTGGAGAAGGGGCCCTGAAGGGTGACTGAGAACCCTTTTATCTAGAAAGTTCAGCCTCTCAGAAGCTGAATTCCAGGGCAGGTCCTCAAAGTGGTAAGTGTCCATGAAGGCCGAGAACAATGTCCTGTGACACCGAGAGGAGGCAGAGACCAGGAGACAAGTAAGTTCCTGGTTCTGGGGGCCAGTTTTGGTGCTGGCAGCAACCCCAGCAGGCTAGATGCCCTGGCTCAGGCCTGATGAGAACTGAGGGTCAGGAGAGCTGGGTTTAAACCAGCTCTGCCCCTCACCACCATGAGACCTGAAGCCAGAGAGTCGGTCCCCCAATGGGGTGCTGTGGGCTTGGAGTAGCTGGTCTGGATCCTGCCTGCTCCCTGAGGGCGGGCTCAGGATCCCCACACAGTCTGCTCCCACCTTGAACCTGGGAGATCTGGGCACAGTGGCTCCTGGCTCCTGGAAGCCTCTGGGCAGAGGGGGAGGGAAGGACCTGAAGACTTTGCCAGCTGTCACTCTCTCAGGTCTCATGTTGGCGGCGGGGTGAACATTATATGAGCCCCATGCCCCTCCGATCTGGCAGCATGTCCTGACAGGCCTGCCTTCAAACTGAGTCTGGAAATCTGACCCCTTCTCTCCATTCCCACTTCAAGCACTCAGGTGCACGACACCGGATTTCTGCACTCCCGCCGGCTTTCTCGCCTCCTTTCTGGCCTTGCTTCCACCCTGCACCTCTCACAGAGCGGACAGAGTGAGCCTTCCCAGATTTCAGTCAGACCAGGTCTCTCCTCTGCTCAGAACAGTAGCTCCCTATTGCATTCGGAGCTTCACAACGACCTGTATGGACCTACACGCTCTGGCCCAGGAAGCGGACCTCGCCTCATCCCTGGGCCCCTTGCCCACAGGCTCCAGCCATGCGGGCCGTCTGCGGTTTCTTACACGCCCCAGTCTGGCTCCGGCCACCAAGCCTTTGCCTAGGCCATTCCCTATTCCCCTGCACGTCCATCCCTGTGGCCTGCTCCCTCACTTCCCACAGATCTTACGTTCTCAGAAAGGCCTTCTCAGTACACGCTGTGGTCCTTGCCTAACAAGATGACTAATTAGGAGGTGAGAACCCCACTTCCCAGCCCCAGAAGTGCCAGCCCTACAGAGAGACCCTCCCCACCCCAACTGAGGAGCGCCCCCTCCCCAGGACTCAGTGGAACCTGTCACCATCTGCAGAGGTGCAGAGTTACCCCTCCCCCTCTCCCCTGTTCCCCTGCCAGGCCAGGGTGGGAGGAGAGGAGGGAGATCAGTGCTCAGAAGGAACCCCTACTAGATGGGATGGAGGGGGAGAGGGGAGGAGGGGGAAGCAGGCACAGAGCCACTCCTTCCCTCACAGGCCAGAGTTGCTCACTGCTCGTCCCCCATAGCCCACTCCACTCTCCTGCAGGTTTATTCTCCTGGTTTAGTGGTATAGGAGCAAGACCAGCGGCCTGGGGTGTTGAGAGATGTAGCTATGAGGCGAGCTCTGCCCTAACTCCCTGTGGGTCTTCATTTTCCCGCCTGGTCAGTGGAGCTATCTGGGATGGTTTGTAATCCAGTCTCGCCTATCACAGGCCTCAGGTTCCTGGCAGGAGGTCAGGAGAGATGACTCATGTCTTCCCAATCACCCAATTCCCAGGAGCAGCCTAAGATGGTGGCCCTGTGCCCCTTGTTGCTGTGGGGGTTCAGGGCTTGTCCCCAGCTTTGGCAGCTGTCCCCAGCTCTCACGGACTCCCTGGGCCCAGAGCCCACCAAGTGATTCTGCAGACCAGGCCTGTGAATTGGGCCCCCTCTCTGTCCCCTACCCCCCCATGCCTCACCTTGTGGGACAGCCTTCTGGGAAATAAAGCTTCCTGGGGGGTTGACAAAGACCGCTCATGCTTCAGTTCTGGGCATAAGGCCAGCTGCCAGCCTGAAGCCTCCTGGCGAGGCCTGCAGGCTTGTGCCCGCTGGGCAGACTGGGCCCAGGGCCAGGGGGAGGCCTGGAGCGGGGGCCGTGGGCCAAGCTGTCTGCCTCCCCTTTCTGCCTTCCTACGTCTGGATGGGAATCTGCAGGCTTCCCTCAGAGATGCGCCTGCATCAGAACTAATGCACCCCAGCCCCCTCTTCAGTTTCCCAGCTGTATCATAAAGGTTTTGTTAAAAACCTTTAAAAATGGTCCTTCATATTCCTTCTAGTGTCAGCATCTAAACTTGTATGGGAGTCACGATGGCTATGGCGGGGCCCTTTCCTAGACAGGGAAACGGGCTCGGGGAGACCAAAGCCCTTGTATCTGGGCACTGGGCTTAGCTAGCAGGCAGAGCTGGAAGCAGGCTGCAGTCCGTCTCTCCACTTTGTGCAGTCTCTGCTCTGCACCAGTAGTGTTCTCTGGGTGTGCCAAGCTTTCTACAGGCTACAAGGTGCATGCCCTTGGGCTCATGAGCTGGGTAGCCAGTATGTGTCAGGACTAGCCGTAGGAGTTGAGGTAGTTGGAGGAGAAGAGGCTTTTCCAAGGATGACACACAAGTCCCAACTCATAAAGGAAAGGATTGGTCACTTCGATGGCATTTAAATATCCATACCAACTTCTATAATAATCCCCAATATACCACAATACAAAGAAAAGACAAACAGGAGAAAACATTCACCATATATATAGAAGAATGAATATCCTTAACACACAGAGAACGCTGAAACCTCTAAGTGTCACCACAGAGGCACAGAAGATTCACCAAAAGAGAAATATGGATACATACTCCCGTATATACACTATGAACTATGATTCTAGGGGATTCGACTCGGTCATTAAAAATGTTCTGCAAAGTTATGAATGAAACAAAACAAATGTGTCTCCTTCTCAGGGCTTCCATGCATGCCCCATGGATCCCCAAACCCATTTCGAGTGGGAAGGTAGGAATGAGCTTCTGGACCAGCTGGCCGCTTAGGGCCTCTAGGCCAGGCCAGCCTGGGGCCTGGTCCGGAGTGTGTGGCATTCCATAAAGCAGCTGAAAGGGGGAGGAGCCCGCTGTGGGCAGAGAACACCAGGGACCAAAGACACCAAAGTCAAGTGTGATAAAAGTAGAAACCACAGAGGGGGCACCGGTAGCTACTTGGTCGGAGTCTAACTGCAAAGAGGCTGTTCCCAAGTTAGCAAGTGCCTGGTGGCTTGGGTCTTAGGTTGTTCTACCGTCCCTGTTGGTACTTGGCACAGTCGACGGCAGAGGTACAGGCTTGCCAGTTAGCAGAGGGTAAGGGAGGCCTCATAGTGAACGGTTTGCACTTTTTTCTTAAAGATTAATTTGTTTAATTTTTGGAACTGTTTGCATTTCACTGCTCTGAGATTGTAATCCCCTCCTGGCAGGGTCCTAGCTATTTATTAAGCACCTATAATGTGTCAGGGGCTGTGCTGAGTGCTGGGAATACAGCAGTGATCACCACCGACAAGAATCCCTTCTTCCTAGTTGAGCATCTGTGGTCTGGGGCAAGGGTCGGGCCAGGGCTGGAGGGGCGTAGGCCAGTGGAGCTTTGGCAGTCCCAAGGGCAGTGGTCTGGGAATCTCCTACAAGATCTGGGAGGGGGATGGTGAGCCATCTCAGTGGGGTCTCTGAGCCTCTATGAAAATGGCAAAAACTCCTTTCCAGGCTCTGGGGAGGTGGGGGGAGGTACTATACGCAGTTCAAGCTACATTTTTCTCTGGGTTGTGGCTATCCCAGGCAGAAAGAACCAGATAGGGTAGCAAACGTGCCAAATTTCTGCTCCCACATGGCCTAAGAGTATAGCATGTCTGGAACCTACAAGCACCCCAGAGACCACTTCGCTCTCCTTTTAGCAGCTGGGAAAACTGGGACCCAGAGAAGGGGAGCTTTTGTCATGACTTAGAAACAAATAAAACAAGGGACTTTGAAG